CCAACAAGGAATTTGAGGTCTAAGCTTTTGAAGGAAGCTTTGACGCTTGATAGCTTATACCCCTTGATGATCTCTAAGGTGCTACTTGACTCAAATTGAGCTGTTTTAGGCAAGGAAGTACTGAAAAATATGGACTCTCTCACTCAATTTAAGTTTGCAGAAATCATGCAACCTTTTTTTAGAGAGCTTGTTTTAAATGGAAGCTGTTCTAGAGGGGAAGTGGGCTTGGGGTAGGGCTGTTCTGAAAATCACTGTTGTTACGGGACAGGCTGCAGTCACTTTTAGGATGCTGTGATGTTTGTTTTCATGGTTGATTTAATTGTTTAATTAATTATGTACATTTTGTTAGCCATTTCTAGCATCGTGGCCAAGCAGCTTATGCATCCTAAAAATACATACATACATGGCAGCTCCAAACTGGGCAATCGAAATTCTCCTACCCCATCCTGTGTAACATGTGAAATGATTCCAGCAGCACAATCCTAACTTGGTCGATCCAAAAATAAGCCCTACCAGCTAGAGCTTATGATTAAAATGAATAGAAATCATATGTTATTTCACCATTCAAATTTATCTGCCACAATTGCTTTCTAAAGGAGGAGGATGAGATTGGAAGACTGAGAAACCCTTATCCTTTCCTCTACTGCCATTTTCTCACTGGGGGGAAAAACCCAACCTTTCAGCCGCTTCCTCCCACATTGAAGAAAACTTACTGGAATCCTTACCACCACCACCCCCAATAGGGTTAACAGCAGCTGGAGATGGGTGTGGGTTTTTCCCCCCACTGAGGAAAAATGTAGGGGAGGAATGGGTTAAAGCCCCCTCCATCTCTTCCTTGATGAAGCAATCCCTGCAACTCAGTTTGCAAAGCAAAAAAGTGTTTCATAAAATATGCGAGGGAGAAATGGTAACATGTATTTGAGCTCTAAAAAAAAATCTACCAAAGTCTCTTTTCTGCATCTGTTATTGAAAACTTGAGTCCTGGAGAGTTTTTGTCTTTCTTTTCATTAAACACAGCAATAGATAAGACATGGGTTTCTGTTATCAGCCACTGTGTTGTCTGTGAACGGCCTTCTACAGTCTTATCTGCTGAGCCAATATCCTCTTTTCTTCCAAGTTCCTCTTCAAGATCCATTTTGTCCCCAAAGATGTTTTTCTCCCCCGGATATGATGCAGAAGTGTGGTAACAGAGCCACAGGTATATCATGAGACAGCTTGGTGGTGTATTCAGTCAAAGTAATTTGGAGGTAAGGTATCTAGTACCTCTAGAATCAATTTAGCAGCAGGCATTTAGCAGGAAACGTGTGAGGGTATGTTTACCCCTCTCAGTAAATGTCAAATCAGAGTGGAAACAATGGCATGGTTTTGCTGTCAGATGACTGTGAACTGGACTGGTTCTGAAAGCGACACCCCCCCCCCACCACAGTAGGGGCCTAGGACAAAGAACAATAACATTCTTGGTTGAGACATAATAGGAGATATCTAATAGTTCTACTCATGTACCTACCAGAGTGGGGTAGAGGTGGCGATGGTGGGGGAACAGAGTTTGGAACAGACAAAAAATGTGGGCTTCCTGTAATTCTCATTTTCCTCGCTTATAACTTCCTGTTTCTTCATTTATTTTCCCCCTGTTCTGCATGTGTTTTGCTCCCTCTAGTGATTACTTCAACATTACATTTATATCAGGCATAACCCCCTGCAGATTTATACTGCAGGTTTTTATGCTGGGATGTAAACCAATGTAATATTGAACCGACCACTAGAGGGAGCAAAACGCATGTGAAACTGAAAAAAAACCCTGATAAAGGAATTTACAAGTGAAGAAAATACGAATGTGGAAAAGCCTTGTGAGCTGTCCGAAGCATCCTAATCTTTCTCTCTGGCCGCTTCCCCACAGAGGTTCTGCTTCAGCTTCTTGTCTAAACTGGTGGGTTTTTAAAGAAATCATCCACACAGTGCCATCCCCAAATCATTCACTTCCCAAGTTTCCTCATGCTTTGCTGCGATCTTTCTGGAACCTGGTTTGTTACCATCTCTTGGGAAAGAGAGCAGATTAAGCTCCATTGCACATTGTGATAACGGTAAATGAGAAAGCGTGCGTTTTTCAGGCCCCACCCACCTAAGCACTATTTTCCTTGCTCCCATCATCCCCTTGCCCTGGAATGCCTTTAATGACAAAGTTTATCATTACATCCTTCCTCGGTTCCACCATTACGTTCCCCAGGGGGCATTAAGCTAGGGTGACATCGTGTCAGTTACCGATTTTAAGCTGACGTATATATTTCGCTATTTGTTATTATAAAAGACTGAAGAAGCCCTCCGGTAGCACAGGAGGCAATGGGGTTGAGGAGGGGGGGGCAAGTCAAGAGTAGGGAAAACTGCCGTGCAGATGCACACTCATTTGCAGCAGCAATGGAAGGAAATGCCCGGGATTGAACCTGGGCCCTTCTGCATGCCAAGCAGAGGCTCTTCCATTGAGCCACAACCAGCTGACTGCTGCTTAGGGAAGTGGGGAGCATCTGACAATAACCTATGAAGAAGAGGAGTGCATGTCTCTGCACTGCTAAGCCTCACTGAGACCTTTTCTGTACCTCAGTGTTGCTGCTGTTTCCCGGCAAGTTGAACCCCGAGCGGATGCTCTGACTTTGTGGCACCCCTTCTGCAAAAGGGCGTTTATTTTAGGGATTCCCCCCCCCCTTTGAATTCAGATCCAACCTTCCTCGTGTGTTCCACTCTTCCTTTGAAAAGGGGTTTTGCGGCCGTGTTGTCATGTACTTTGTCAGTGACGGAATATCTCTCTCTCTCTCTCTGCATATGCAGTAATGTTATAACATCATAACACTGTTTAAAAAAAAGCTGGATGTATCATGGGGAGCAGCATGGTTGCCGCCATTTCAAAGGTCCCCTGCTCGTCCTTTTTTGCCAACTAAGGAAATGGCCGGCAAAGATTTCCAAAGAATCCTAACGAAAATAGTGCTCCGTTTGCGATTGCTGAACTGGATACATCTATTCATAACAGCGTTATTCAAGAATTATGAAGCACACTAAATTTGTCATCCTGTACTACGTCAGCGACAGATCCTCGTTTATTTTTTGTGCATATGCCATTGTGACATTATAACACTGTAAAAAAAATGGCTCGATGTATTGTGGGGAACAGCATGGTTGCCACCATTTCAAAAGTCCCCGGCTCCGCCTTAGTTGCCAACTAAGAAAAGGGCTGGAGTTTGTTGAACTGGATACACCAATCCATAACAGTGTTATTCAATAATTATGAAGCACACTAGTTGTGTCCTTATGTACTTTGTCAGCGACAGAACCTCCTTTTTTTGCATATGCAGTAATGTTATAACATCATAACATTTAACATTGTAAAAAAAAGAAAACACAATGGGAGTTATAGGGGAAGAGAAAGGGAAGAGGAAGAATGAAGAAACAATACAAGTGCATGGCATCAAGACCTACCCACCAAAAAAGGAAGGAAGGAAGGAAGGAAGGAAGGAAGGAAGGAAGGAAGGAAGGAAGGAAGGAAGGAA